ATGGATCAAAGAGGGAATTAAACAGAAAATCAAAAACTACCTTGAAACAAATGAAAGTGAAAACACAATGTCGCAAACTCTATGGATCATAGCCAAAGCAGTTATAACAGTAAATTTTGAGCTATACAGGCCTGCCTCAAGAAGCAGGAAAAATCCCAAATAAACAATCTAAATTTACACGTAAAGAAATTAGAAAAAGAGGCACAAACAAAACCCAAAGTGAATAAAAAGAAGGAAATAATAGTGGTCAAGCAGAAATAAATTACATAGAATATAGAAAAATAATAGAAAGGATTAAAGAAACTAAGAGCTGGTTCTTTGAAAGTATAAATAAAACTAAGAAACCTCTAGGAAGACTCATTAAGTAGAAAAGAAAAAGAACACAAATAAATAAAATCATAAATGAAAGAGAAGGAATTACAACTGACACCACAGAAATAAAAAAGATTATTAAAGAATATTATGAATAATTATATGCCAACAAATTTAACAATCTAGAAGAAATGAATAAATTTTTAGAAATATACAACCTTCCAAGACTAAACCAGAAAGAAACAGAGAATCTGAGCAGACCAATTACTAGCAATGAAATTGAAGCAGTAATCTAAAAACTCTCAACAGACAAGAGCCCAGGATCAGACAGCTTCACAGGTGAATTCTACCAAATATTTAAAGAAGAATTAGTAATTATCCTTCTCAAACTATTTCTAAAAATTGAAGAGGAAGGAATGCTTCCTAAGTCATTCTATGAAGCCAGCATTATACAGACACCAAAACTAGAAGAAACACACACACACACACACACACACACACACAACAAAAAAGGAAATTATAGGCCGATATCCCTGATGAACACAGGTATATAAGCATATATGCCAAAATTTGCAACAAAATACTAGCAAACTAAATTCAACAATATATTAAAAGGATTTTGTACCATGATCAAGTGAGATTTATACCAGGCATGCAAGGATGATTCAACATCTGACATCTGCAAAACATTTGACATGATTCATCAAAACGACAAAACCAAAGATAAAAATCATATGATTATCTCAATAGATGCAGAAAAAGCATTTGACAAAGTTCAACATCCATTTATGATAAAAACTCCCAACAGTGTGAATATAGAAAGAACTTACCTCGACTTTATAAAAGCTATATATGACAAGCCAACAGCATCATACTCAATGGTGAAAAGTTGAAAATTTTTTCTCTAAGATCTAGAACAAGAAAATGATGCCCATTCTCACCACTATTATTCAATATAGTATTGGAATTCCTAGCCACAATAATCAGACAAGGAAAAGAAATGAAAAGCATTCATATTGGAAAGAAATAAGTGAAACTCAATATTTGTTGGTGGCATGATAGTAGATATAAAAACCCCTAAATAATTCACCAAAATGTTAATAGGATGAATTTGAATATTTAATATAATTAATTAATAATAAAAGTTAATAAAATTTCAGTAAAATAAAAAATGCAAAATTAATATATAGAAATTTGTCATGTTCCTATACACTAATAACAAACAATGAGAAGAATTTAAGAAAACAATCTCATTTACAATTGCATCAAAAAGAATAAAATACTTAGGAATAAATTTAACCAAGAAGATGAAAGACCTGTACCCTGAAAACTATAAGACATTGGAAAAAAATTGAAGAGAACACAAATAAACAGAAAGATATACTGTGTTCATGGATCGAAAGGATTAATATTGTTAAAATGACCATGTACAGATTTAATGCAGTTCTTATTAAACTACCAATATTGTTCTTCCCAGGACTAGAACAAATATTCCTAAGTTTTATATAGAACCACAAAAGACCTCAAGTAGCCAAAACAATCTTGAAAAAGAACAAAGATGGCGGTATCACACTCCCTAATTTCAAACTATCCTACAAAGCTATAATCAAAACAGCATGATACACATAGATCATTGGAATAGAATAGAGTGCCCAGAAATAAACCCATGTCTCAATGGTCAGTTAATCTATGATGAAGGAGGCAAGAATATACAATGGAGTAAAGACGGTTTCTTCAATAAATGGTTTTGGGAAAACTGGACAAATACATGCAAAAAATGAAACAAACCTAGACCACCTTACTATACCATATACAAGCATAAACTCAAAATGCATTAAAGACTTAAATGTTAGTACTGAAACCATCGAATGTCTAAAAGCAAACATAGGAAGTAAACTATTAGATATCAGACTAATGTATCTTTTTGGATACATCCCCTTGAGCAAGGGAAACAAAAGCAAAAATAAACAAATGGGACTTCATCAAACTAAAAAGCTTCTGCACAGTGAAGAAAACCTTCAACAAAACTAAAAGACAACCTATTGAACAGGAGAATATATTCACAAATGATATTTCCATTAAGGAGTCTATATCCAAAATATATAACAAACTCAAACAACTCAATAACAAAATCTAAATAAATAATCCAATAAAAAATGGGCAGAGGGCATGAAAAGACATTTCTTCAAAGTAGACATACAGACACATAAAAGATGGCCAACAGACATATGAAAGATGTTCAACATCACTGATCATCAGGGAAATGCAAATTAAAACCACAATGAGATACCACCTCACACCAGTCAGAATGGCTATTAAAAAAAAAAAAAAAAACTCGACAAACAAGTGTTGACAAGAATGTGGAGAAAAGGGAAACCTCATGCACTGTTGGTGGGACTATAATCCAGTGCAGATCCTATGGAAAACAGTATGAGGTTTCCTCAAAAAACTAAAGATAGAACTACCAATTCCGCTACTGGGTATTTATCTGAAGAAATTCAAAACATTAATTTGAAAAGGTATATGCACCTCTATGTTCATTGAATTTACAATAGCCAAGATATAGAAGCAACCTAGGTGTTTGGCGGGAGATTAATGAATAAAGAAGGTGATACACACACACACACACACACACTCACACACACACACACAACGGAATAATACACAGCAATAAGAAAGAATGAAATCTTGCCATTTGCGACAATATGAATGGATCTAGAGGGTATTATGCTAAGTGAAATAAGTCTGGCAGAGAAAGACAAATACCATATGTTTTCACTTTTATGTGGAATCTAAACAAACAAGCAAACAAAACAAAACAAAAACAAACACACAGAGACAGAGACCACATGAATGGGTACCAGAAAGGATGGGGTGGGGGAGTGAAAAGAGGAAAGGGAAAATGCTCAATAGTATTGTCATAATTTTGCACAGTGACAGATGATTACTAGAATTAATGAGATGATCACATTGTAAGGTATGAAAATGTCAAGTCATTATATGGTATAACAGAAGCTAATATAACCCATATAATATTGCATACCAATTATACTTAAATTAAAAAAAAATCAGTTCCCAGAGGTTCATTTCCAAAGATTTTGTATTTTAAGAGGCCACTTTTCAGAATGCAAGCGAGACCTAGAAGGGCCTTGCATATACCAAAGCTTATTATTATTACAGCATCTCTTACTGGGTTAGCAGCATGATGTCAAGGCGTTGAGGTTTGGAGTACCTAAATATTTCTCCTGAAAGTCCACCAAAGAGAAGTTCAGAGAGATTAGCATCACTAAGAAGAGCTTTCATCTTTCTAATTTGAATCAAATTTCAGGATCTTCACACTCACTTCCAAATCTAGGTGAGGAGCTCAGACCAACAAAAAAGGCTTTAAACTTCATCTCAGCTTGAAACGAGGATTAAGAGTTGGGGAGCACAGGATGAGGCTCAAACTATTTACTCTAGAATTCCAGGACCTCCCAAATTTTATCCCATTATTTTTGTCTCAGCCTAACTCCCTGTCAACATCCTGCTCTCCTGGCAGGCTGGTCTTCCCCCTGAGTCATAAACTTCCCTGGATCATGATATCTACTTATTGTTCCATTGTCTTTTCACCACTATGATCCCCCTCCTTCCCTGGGATTCATCGTAGAGTAGCTGAGATTGTTCCATCAGAAATAACACAATGACAATAACTCACCATTTATTTTGCATGACATCATAAAGTTTAAAAACTATTTTCATATATATTTTTGCCATGCCCACTAAGGGTAAGTTATTGGATTAAAATGTTTCATATATACTATCTCTAATCCTTATGAAATGTGTGAATTTTACAGATGAGGGACTGAAAATAAGAGAGATTCGTGATTTGTGCAAGATCCCTCAGCTAAAAAGCAGTGGAGTCAGGACTAGAAACTAGGTCTCTTAGCCTAGAGCTGTTTCTATCTCATCCAAATCTTTCTTACTCTGGTCCCCTAGACCTGCTTAAACTGTATCTTTGAGAAAGCCCAAAAGACTGTGGGTTAGGACTTAGGTCTTCTTCAGGGACAAGCTTGCTGCCTTATTGAGATTTGGGCTGCCAGTTAATGTACAGGTGAAGACATGGCTCAGAGAGAGAATGGGCATGTATGAGGAGCAAAGAAAACAGGCTTTTGAAAGGCACCCACTGTGCTCTCAAAGAATAAATTATAAATCAAAAAGAGAAATCATCCAGGTCCAGCACCATAATCCCAAGCCACAGAAGTTCTGAAAAGGAGATTCAAATACTAAGAACTTTCCTGGTCAGCTGAAGGTAAAGGAAGATCAACTTAAGCTTGTCTGTAGCTTGTCAGGGGCATCTGCCTCTCAGCAGCCCCTTCCTTTCACACACTATTGGTAACTACTCGAGTTGGGACCTAACTCATATTTTTCTTGTCTCTTGGTCAGAGATTTAAAAACAAACAAACAAACAAACAAACAAAACCTTCACCTTTGTGAAGCATGTGGGTATGAAGGGACAACTGTGCTGTCATTAACAGAATTTAAAAAGATCAAATTGCGTTCTTGCTCTACTGTTCTCTTCCTTCTCCCCTTTCCACAAAAAAAGCACTGCAACTCATTCCAAGCTTACCCAAGGTTTTAAGTACCTAGATATCCATTTTATAAAAAGAAAAATCCTTCAATCCCAAAGCAGGAGGCATTCATTCACTCACCTTTGACATATACGTACACACTGGCCTTGCCATTAGGGTCCTTGATGTCAGCCACATCCTTGTAGCTACATGTGAAGTAGCCAGTGTCACCAGCTTCTGTGTGGAAGATGGTGAGCTGGTTGCAAATAACAAGGGGGTTATCAGAGCAGTGGTGCTCCAACATGTAGGCCCGACTTCCTGTAGACCCAATGCCCCAGGTCCAGGTAATGGCAGCCAATCCTCTGTAAACATAACAAAAATAAAAAACATGCTGGTTAGGCCTGGAGGTGACAGTGAAGAAATGTTGCTCCAGCTCTTGACCTGGATTCTAAAGGAAAATTTATCACAGTTCAGATTCCATGAAAGAATTGGCACAGAGGATTAGAACACCTCACTCTGGGCATGAGGAGCATCTGAAACCATGAGTTACATTTTTGTTTTTCTCCCTGTCTCCCCATGTATCTCCTCCTCTAACTCAATATTTACCCCTAGCCCAGATCTCTCCACCAATAGGTGGGCTTTGGAGTGTTTGACAATGAACTTCTAAAGGCAGACAGAAATATTAAGTTATTTCTGAGGTCCTTTCTGGATTTATTGTTTCCACTTGGAAAATAAGAACATCAAGACCCAGGGAAGTAAAGAGCCTTGCCCAGAAAGTTGCTGGCAGAACCCAGTCTAGGTTTTTATTTTTATTTTTGCGTTATACCAAAGTGCCTCACTGAATTTTAAAGGTTTTTTTCCCTGGGAAATTAAGTTCTAAAAAGACATGCCACTGGATTAGCATTCCCTTCATTTTGTGGGAGAGAGCCAGGGACAAAGTTGTTTAAATTCATTGCAATCCTTCCACACAGGAAAAAAAAAAAAAACTGGAATCTATATCTTCATCTCATCAGCAATATTTTCTCCTCCTCCCACTTCTTCATTATAAGAAGAATCTGTAGCACAATAATTGAAAAAAAGCAGGGAGGGCAAAAGAACATGGATATCAAATCTCGGCATTATTATTGTTTAGTTATGTGGCCTTGGGGAGTTAATTAAGCTTTCTAGGTCTCAGGTTTCTCATCTCTTAAACAGTCCGTGATCTTTCTTTTCCAGAATTCTGTGAAAATTCATTGAGAGATCTTATGTGAAAAAGTTTTATAAATGCAATCCCTCAGCATATGTAGAAGACAGTGAGAGTTAACAGCAAGATGGAGCCAGACTTGACTCCTGTTTTCATGTCAAAGACAGATACCTATCCCATTTTATATCATATCATTTCCAGCATTCACACATTTGCTAGACCACTGTTTATCATGACTCATAAATTCACTGAAGTGAAGAGAAGGTCAACCATGAAGTGACGTTGGGGCCCATTGCTCACCTTGGGCATATTTTTCAAAAGCAATGTGTTCCTACCATCTTGAAAAAATAATGTTACCATGATTGTGGTTAAACCTGTTAAAAAATAAAAGGGAGGGTCTATAGAAAGCAAGACCAGGAGGGGAATCATATAGAAAACAATGGTTCAGATCCTGCTCATTCCCAACCCCCTCACCCTCTGCCTCCTGCACCCTGAGGTTAGAACCAGCTTTTGTCTCTGTAAATGAGAAGAAAATGAATCCAAGTCACAGTTCCTCAGCCTGACTCCAGAGAATCCTCCATTGGCTCTACTTGAGCTCATACATCTTTAGGATATGTTCAGCCTCATTCTCAGATCTTCAAATAAACTATGTGTCCTCAAAGTCAGACAGCCTAAGAGAAGGTGTGTCCTCTTATAATTTAAATTGTTTCCCCACAAGTTCATATCTTGAAGCACTAACCCCAAGTACATCAAAATGTGACTATATTTGGACACAGAACCTTGAAAGAGGTAATTAAGTTTAAATGATGCCATTAGGGTGGGCCCTAATCCAGTCTAATTGATGTCTTTATAACAAGAGGATATTCGGACACGCAGAGAGATACCAGGGATGAGCGCACAGAGAAAAGACCATGATAAGACACAGTTAGAAACTAGCCATCTGCAAGCCAAAGAGGCATTTTCCTTTGCTGTGCAAAAACTTTCTACTTTGATGGATTACATTTGTTTATTTTTTTCTTTTGTTTTCCTTGCCCGAGGAGATATATCAGAAAAAAATATTACTAAGAGCAATGTCAGAGAGTTTACAGCCTAAGTTTTCTTCTGGGAGTTTTACGGTCTCAGGTCTTACTGTAAGTCTTTAATTCATTTTGAGTTAGTTTATTCTTGTATATGATGTAAGAAGAAGGTCCAGTTGCATTGTTTTGCATATATCTGTCCAGTTTTCCTGACACCATTTATTGAATAAACAGTCTTTACTCCAGTATATCCTTGCCTCTATTTAATTCCATTGATCCATGTGTCTGTTTTTAAGCCAGTACCTGCTGTTTAGATCACTATAGCCTTGTAGTTTCATTTGATATCAGATAACATGATATCTCCAACTTTGTTATTCTTTCTCAAGACTGCTGTGGATATTTGGAGTCTTTTATGGTTTCATATAAATTTTATGATTATTTCTTCCAGTTATGTGAAAAATATCATTGGTATTTTGATAGAAGTTTCACTGAATCTATAGATTGCTTTGTGTAGTATGGACATTTTAATGACGTTAACTCTTCCTATCCATGAGAACGGTATATGTTTCCATTTATTTGTATCTTCTTCAATTTCTATCTTGAATGACTTAAATTTTTCGAGTACAGGTTTTTTAACTCTGGTTAAATTTATTCCTACGTATTTTATTTTTTGATGCAAGTGTAAATGGGATTGTTTTCTTAATTTCTCTTTCTAATAGTTAATTTTGATGTATAAAAATGCAATAGATTTCTGAATATTAATTTGTATCCTGCTACATTACTGAATTCATTGATCGATTCTAACAGTTTCTTGGTGGAATCTTTAAGATTCTATATATATAGTATCATGTCATCTGCAAATAATGACAGTTTTACTCTTTCCTTTTCAATTTATATGCCTTTTATTTATTTTTCTTGTCTGAATGCTATGGCAAGGACTTCCAATACCATATTGAATAAAAGTGGTGAAGCTGGACATCCTTGCCTTCTTTCTGATCTTAAGGAAAACGCTTTTAGCTTTTCACCTTTGAATATGATATTAGCTGAGTTTGTCCCATGTGACCTTTATTATGTTGAAGCATGTTTTCTCTGTTCCCACTTTGCTGACAGTTTTTATTATAAATAGAAGCTCGAATTTGTCAAAAGCTTTTTCTGTGACTATTGATATGATGATAGCATGATTTTTATTTTTCAGTTTGTTAATAGGTGTATCACATGAATTGATTCGCAGATACTGAACTTAACTTGCATCTCACGAATAAGTCCAACTTGATCATGGTGTATAATCTTTTAAATATACAGCTGAATTCAGTTTGCTAATATTTTGTTGAGTAATTTTGCATCTATGTTCACTAAGGATTTCACCCTATAATTTTCTGTTTTTTAATATCTTTGTCTACTTTTGGTATCAGAGTAATGGTGGCCTTGTAAAATGAGATTGGGAGCGTTCTCTCCTCTTGAATTTTTTGAAGTAGTTTGAGAAGAACAGGTGTTATTTCTTCTTGGACTGTTTGGCAAAATTCACCTGTGAATCCATCCAATTCAGAGCTTTTGTTTTTTGAAAGCTTTTAAATTACTTATTTAATTTCATTAGTAGTAATTGGCTGGTTCCGATTTTCTGTGTCTTCTTGACTGAATCTTGGAAAAGTGTATGTTTCTAGGAAAGCATCCATTTCTTCCAGTTTGTCAATTTGTTGGCACATAATTGCTCATAATATTTTCTTATAATCCTTGTATTTCTGTAACGTCAGTTGTTACTTCTTTTTATTTGGGTCTTCTCTTTTTTTTTTCTTGATGAGTCTAGTTAAAGCCTTGTCATTTTTTTTTTATCTTTTCAAACATCCAGCTCTTGGTTTCACTGATCTTTTCTATTGTTTTTTTAGACTCCATTTTGTTTATTTCCACTGCGGTTTTTATTATTTCCTTCCTTCTGCTTACTTTTTTTTTTTTTTTTGCTGTTCTTTTTCTAGCTTCTTTCAGTATAAGATTAGATTGTATATTTGAGATTTGTCTTGTTTCTTGAGGTAGGCCTGTATTGCTATGAATTTTCCTGCTTTTGCAGTATCTCATAGATTTGGGGTCATCGTGTTTTCATTTTCATTTGTCTCAAGGAAGCTTCTGATTTCTTCCTTGTTCTCATTTGCATTGTTAACTCATTCATCATTTAGTAGTATGTTATTTAGCCTCTATATGTTTGTATATTTTTTATTTTTTTTCTTGTGATTAATTTCTAGTTTCATACCATTGTGGTAGTAGAAGAAACTTGTTATCTCAATCTTCTTAAATTTACTGAGAATTGTTTTGTGGCCTCACATGTGGTCTACCTTGGAATATGTTCCATGTGCACTTGAGAAGAATGTATATTCTGCTGCTTTGTGGTGATACGCTCTAAAAATATCAATTTGGAAGATCTGTCCATTGGGGTCATAGTGGTATAAAGTCCCTTACTATGATTGTATTACTGTTGATCTCTCCCTTTATGACTGTCAATATTTGCTTTATAAATTTAGGTGCTCCTGTGTTTGTTGCTTAAAAGTTTACAAGGGTTATATCCTCTTGTTAATTGATCCCTTCATAATGTTCTTCTTTGTCTCTTATTATGACCTGTGTTTTAAAGTCTACTTTGCCTGGTTTTAGCATTAGTACCCCAGCTTTTTGTTTGTTTGTTTTCATTTCCATTGCATGAAATGTCGTTTTTTATCCCTTTACTTTTAGTCTCTGTGTGTCTTTCGATCTGAAGCGGGTCTCTTGTAGACAGCATATATATGGGTCTTGTTTTCTTATTCATTAGGCAACCTATGTCTTTTGATTGGAGCATTTTATCCATTTTATTTAAAGTGATTGTTGATAAGTCCATAGTTACTGCCATTTTATTATTCATATATTTTTTTTCTTCCACCTCTTCTTCTTAAAGGAGTCCCTTCAACATTTCTTGAATTACTGGCTTAGTGGTTGTGAATTTCTTTTGATTTTTTTCTGGTCTGGGAAGCTCTTTATCTCACCTTCCATTTTAATTGATAGTCTTGTTGCGCAGAGTAGATTTGGTTATAAGTCCTTGCTTTTCATCACTTTGAATATTTGGAGCTGATCCTTTTTGGCTTGCAAAGTTTCTGTTGAGTAATCAGCTGACATTCTTATGAGAGTACCTTTGTAAGTAACTAGCTCTTTCTCTTGCTGCTTTTAGGATTTTCTTTTTGTCTTTATTTTTTTTTTTTTTGAGTGAAAAGGAAATTTTATTATAAAAGAGACAACACTCTACAGACAGAGTGTGATTTCTCAGAAATAGTGAGAGGGACCTCTTTGTCTTTAAACTTTGGCATTTTAAGCATGATGTGTGTTTTTGTGGGTCTATTTGTGTTTATCTTGTTTGGGACTCTCTCCGCTTCCTGGACTTATATGTCTTTTTTCTTCACCAGGTTAGGGAAGTTTCCAGTCATTATTTCTTCAAATATATTCTCAATCCCTTGCTTTCTCTTTTCTTCTTCTGGTACCCTTATGACGTGAATGTTGTTACACTTGATGTTGTCCCAGAGGTCCCTTAAACTATCTTCATTTTTTTATTATTTTTTTTCTTTTTGCTGTTCCAATTGAGTGTTCTCTTCTATCTTGTCTTTCAAATCGCTGATTCAATCCTCTACTTCATCTAATATACTATTGATTACTTCTAGTGTATTCTTCGTTTCAGTTATTTATTCTTCATTTTTGATTAGTTTTTTTTTTCTGGTTTCTATGTCCTTTTTTATGCTTACTATCTCTCTATTTAAGTTCTCACTGAGATCATCTATTCTTACTCTAGGTTCATTGAGCATACTTATAGCCAGTATCTTGAGCTCTCTATCTGGTAAGTTGCTTATCTCCATTTCATATTATCCTTTTCTGGAGTTTTCTCCTGTTCTTTTATTCAGGACATGTTTCTTCATCTTCTCATTTGGGTTGCCTCTCTTTGTTCGTTTCTATGTACTACGTAGATCTGCTACGTCTCCCAATCTTAACTGGGTGGCCTTATATAGTAGGTCTCCTGTGTGCCTGGTGGTGCAGTCTCCCTGATCAGCTGCACTAGGTGCTCCAGGAGTGACCCTTGTGTGGTTGTGTGTGTCCTCCTGTTGTATTTGAGCCTTGATTTTTGTTAGTACGTAGTGAGTAGGTTTGATTCTCATGCTTACTGGCTATGAGGATAGGCCAAACCCACAATGTATGAGCTGCTGTGTGGCAGCTGACTCCATGGAGTGGATTTTGCTCCAGCAGGTTTTTGTGCCTGTTGAGACCACTCTTGGAGTATGTCACTTATGGGGCTAATCAGGTTGTGCTCTGTTAAGGTAATGCCAGTCTCCATGTGTATTTGTTTGGAACCACTTGGGAGGGTCTCACATGCAGGCCAAGGTCAACTGCTGTCTGTGACCAGCCAAGGCTATCTTGTAGGAGCTACAAAGTTCTCCATGTATGGTTGCTTCCTGAGTCAGACCTCGAGGTATGTGGGAGAGGCCATGCATCAAATTGAGGCACACTGCCACCAGTACCAGGCCTGTGGCATCTCATCAAAAGGCCCAGGGCACCTCCTGGCCTGAGGCTGCTTGTCAGATGACCATAAGGCTCAGCAGCTGAATTAGCCCTGGGGGTACCAGAGTTGGATATGTCGGGATATAAGGGAGTTTCCAAGTTGAGGCAAGTGGTGTTCACCATATTGGTGCAGATTCAGATTTGTTACCAGTGCTGAGCCTATGGCCACTTACAAAAGTCTCAGCTCACACCAAGGCCAGCTGCCGCCTGCCTCAGGCTCTCAGACCCCTGAGATTTGTTCAAGAAATATGCAGCTAAGGCTGGAGTTGGTTGCTCATCACCAACAATGTCTCCCAAGTTACGTGAGCAGAGGCCTGTTGATTGCTGCAGAAGGAATCTCATGCTGAGGATGGAGGGTAGGGCTGGTTTCTCAGTAACCACCCAAAACTGCCACCAGGCAATTTTTTAGTTGAGACAGGCAGGGTCTCAGAGTCACTGGGGTGGAGCAATTAGATCTCACCAGGCTAATGCAGATTCAGTTTTGGCAGTGTCGGGGAGGGTTCAACAGAAGCAAGATGGTGTTCACCTGCTGGCTGCAATGGAGGAGGGCTCAACAAAGGGACAATGGTGGATGTCTTTCCAGCCCTCTACCTGAAGCCATAAAACTCAGTCTTTCCCTGATGTCTCTGGTACCTCCTGAGATGCTGTCCCTCCGCCAGAACATAGGTTGAGTGCTTGTGAGTATGTGAGTCTGTACACAGGCTCATTAAGGAGACATCTGGATTTCCAGCTGCCTTCTGTATTATCTGGATGGCTGGAATCCCCACTGATTTTCAAAGCCAGATTTTGTGGGGACTCCTCTTCCCAGAACTGGAACCCTGAGCTGGGGAGTCCCAGTGTGGGGCTGAGGCCCCTTGCTCCTTTGGAGGGAGAAGGCTTTGCAGCCAATGTATCCCTCCCAATGCTCAACCACCATATATGCATGTGGGGCCAGCCCATTTCACATCTCCATCCCTCCTACCAGTCTTGATGTGATCTCTTTATATCCCCAGTTACAGGAGTTCTGTTCAGCTTGTTTTCTTATTGTTCTCTGGGTTGACTGGTTCATAATTTAGTTGTAGTTTTAATGTGATCATGGGAGGGGGCGTGCACAGAGTTTACCTACACTGCCATCTTGACTGGTTGGCTGTTTTCTTTGTTGTTGTTTTGTTGATTGTTTCTTCATTGTGCTAAAGCTTTTTAGTTTGATATAGACCCATTAGTTTAATTGTTTTTGTTTCCCTTGCCTGAAGGTACATATCCAAAAATATTGCTAAGATTGATCTCAAAGGTATTACTGTCTGTTCAATTCTAGGAGGCTTTTGGTTTCAGGTTATATGTTTAAATCTTTAATCCATTTTTGGTTTATTTTTGTATATGTTTTAAGAAAGGGGTCCAAATTTACTTGTTTGCAAGTATCTGTCCAGGGTTCCCAGTACCATTTATTGAAGAGACTGTTCTTTTCCCTTTGTATCTCTGGTCTACTTGGTCATATATTAATTGACCATATAAGTGTGGGTTAATTTCTGGGCTGGTTGTTCTGTTATTACTATTATTATTTTTTTTTTAATCTAGATGTGTGTTTTTGTACCAGGACCATAATGTTTTGATTACTAGTAGTATAGTTTGAAATCAGGGACTGTGATACTTCAGATTTGTTCTTTTATTGCAAGATTGCTTTGGTTGTTCAGTGTCTTTCAAGTGCACATGGAATATTATCCAGAATTATCTATTTTAGGATTATTATTTCTATTTCTGTAAAAAATTCCATTGATATTTTGATAGGGATTGCACTGAATTTGTAGAATGCTTTAGACAGTATAGACATTTTAACAATATTAATTCTTATATTCCATAAGTATGGCATATCTTTCCATTTATTTGTGTCATTATAAATTTCCTTCATCAATGTCTTATACTTATCAGGCTACTGACCTTTTGCATCTCTGGTTAAATTTATTCTAGTTATATTTTATGCAATTGTAAATGCGATCATTTTCTTCATTTCTCTTTCTGATAATGCATTCTTAGTGTATAGAAATACCAATGAGCTATGTATATTAATTTTGTATCTTGCAACTTTACTAAATTTATTTATTAATTCTAATACTTTTTTTGGTTGAGTCTTTAAGGTTTTCTATACATAGGATCATGTCATCTGTGAATAGTGACAAATTTACCTGTTCTTTCCCATTTGGATGAATTTATTTATTTTTCTTTTCTGATTGCTATGTCTAGGACCACTAACAGAATATTGAATAAAAGTGGTGAGAATGGATATTCTTGTCTTGTGCCTGATCTTAGGGGGAAAACCCTTTATCTTTACCCTGTTGAGTCTGATGCTAGCTGTGGGTTTGTCATATGTGGCCTTTATTATGTTGAGATATGTTAACTCTATTCCCATTTCGTTGAAGTTTTTATCATGAATAGATATTGTATTTTGTCAAATGCATTTTCTGTGTCTATTGAGATGACCATTTAATTTTTATCCTTTGTTTTGTTAAGGTGTTGTATTACATTGATTGATTTGTGGATATGAAACCATCTTTGCACTCCTGGAATAAATCTCACTTGATCATGGTGTTTGATCCATTTAATTAATTGTTGAATTCAGTTTGCTAATATTTTGTTGAAATTTTTTGCATCTGTGTTCATCAGGAATATTGGTCTGTAATTTTCTTTATGTAGTATCTTTGTCTAGTTTTGATCAGGGTAATGCCTGCATCATAGAATACATTTGGAAGTGTTTCTCTATCTTAAATTTTTAAAAATAGTTTGAGAATAGGTATTATTTTTAAAAAATATTTGTTAGAATTCATCTGTGAATTTTGAATCTGAGTTTTTTTTATTACTGACTCAATTCCCCTACTAGTAATTTCATAGTTCAGATTTTCTATTATTCATGATTTAGTCTTGAAATAGTGTATGTTTTTGGGAATTTGTCCATTTCTTCTAGGCTGTCCGATTTGTTAGTACATAATTTTTAATGTAATTTCTTAAAATCCTTTGTATTTCAGTGATGTCAATTGTAATTTCTCCTGTTTTTTATTTTATTAATTTGGGTACTCTTTTTTCTTTTCCTGATGGGTATAGCTAAAGGTTTACCAATTTTGTTTGTCTTTTTAAAGGACCATCTCTTAGTTTCATTGATCATTTGTTTTGTAGTCTCTATTTTATTTATTTATTTCTGCATTGATCTTTATTATTTCTTTTTTTCCACTAACCCATTGATTGTTTAGCAATATGTTGTTTAGTCTCCACGTGTTTGATTTTTTCTTGTAATCGATTTCTAGTTTTTACCATCGTGGTTGAAAACTATGCTTAATATGATTTTAATATTCTTAAGTTAATGGAGATATTTTTGTAGCCTAACATGTGGTCTATCTTGGAGGATATTTCATGTGCACTTGAAAAGAATGTGTATTCTCCTATTTTTGGATGAAACATTCTCTATGCATTTGTTAAGTTCTTCTGTTCTAATGTGTTATTTAAGGCCAATGTTTTCTTGTTGATTTTCTTTCTGGATGATTCATTCATTGATGTAAGAGCAGTGTTAAAGTCCCCTGCTATTATTGTACACCCATCTCTCTTTGTATCTGTCGATATTTGTTTTTGTATTTATATGCTCCTACGATGAGTGCATATATGTTTACATGTGTTATATCCTCTTGTCTAATTGACCTCTTTATTATTATATAATGCTTTTCTTTCTTTGTCTCTTGTTACTATCTTTGTTTAAAAATCTATTTTGTCTTATGTAAGTATTGCTACTCCATCTTTCTTTTTTATTTTTTTCTTTCTTTTCCATTTGCATGAAATTTCTTTTTCCATGTATTTTCCATCTGTGTGTGTCCTTTGTTCTGAAGTGAGTCTCTTGTAAGGGTTATATGTATGGATCTTGTTTTTTTTTTTTTTTTTAGCTATTCATCCACTGTATGACTTTTGATTGTAGTGTTTAGTCCATTTATATTTAAAGTAATTACTGATAGGTATGTTCTTATTGCCATTTGATTGAGGTGGTTTTTTTTGTAGTTCTCTTTTCTTTTGCTCTCTTCTCTTATGCAATGATGACTTTTTTAGAGATGTTTAGATTCCTTTCTCTTTAATTTTTTGTGTAGTAATTATAAGTTTTGGTTTATTGTTATATGGTTACATGTAACCATGAGGCTATATATATGTTCTTATATAATAATCTATATTTATAGTTGTTTATTTTTTTAAGTTGATGGTCACTTAAGTTCTAACACATTCTAAAGGCAGTATCGTATTTTAAATCTTCCATGTGTGCTTCTTAATTTGTTATTGTAGATACTCATGATCTTACTACTTTTGTCTTTTAATCATCATACTATCTTTATAATCAGTTGATCTACTACTTTTACTAAATGTTTTACTTTATCAGTGAGATTTTTTTCTTTGCTATATTTTCTTACTTTTACTTCTAGACTTTTCTGTTCTGTTTCAAAATGTCCCTTTGACATTTCCTAGAGTGCCTGTTTAGTGGTGATAAACTGCTTTAGCATTTGCTTGTCTGAGAAACTCTTTATCTATCCTTCAATTTTGAATAATAACCTTGCTGGGGAGTTTATTCTTGGTAGTAGTTTTCCCCTTTCATCACTTTGTATATATTGTGCCATTCTTTTCTGGCCTGCAAAGTTTCTACTGAAAAATCAGCTGCTAGTCTTATAGGGGTGGTTTCCCTTGTATGAAATTAATTATTTTTCTCTTGCTGCTTTTAATATTCTCTATCTTTTGAAGTTTTGATTATAATGTGTCTTGGTGTGGACCTCTTTGGTT